CAGAGTGATGATCAGAACTTGGTTGCTGTAGGTGATTCATTTGTTATGACCGTGTCAGGAGATTCTGACATTGATGTAGATGGTGCCCGTGATAACTTAAATGTCATAAATGTTTCTAATATTGACTTTGACACTGAGTGGATTTTAGACTCAAGTACCGCTGTTCATATGTTTCTTGTTAAGTCTTGATTTTATAACTACAGAGATGTGAATTCTAGAAAAGTATACTTGGGGTGATCGTACACACAATGTGGAAGGAATAGGTGATAGTGCTATTAGCATGCATGATGACATCATCAGACCCTTTAGAGGTGTTAAATATATTTCGAGCCTAGCAAGGAATTTTATTTCCTTTGGCACTTTAGAAGAAGAAGGTTATGAGTTCAGATCTCATACTGGTACTTTAAAGATTTGTAAAAGGTCTCTAGTAGTTGTGAAAGGTCCCAAGAAGAATGAATTATATGTCTTTCAAGGCAAAACGTTAGATAGCAAAGAGTCAGCATTATCTTTAATTTGCAAAAATAAATTAGACCTTTGGTATAAGAGAATGGGACACATTAGGAACAAAGGATTGAAATAACTTAGTGATCAGAAATTACAAGGTAAGGATAGTGTTACACCTTTAAACTTTTACAAGACGTATGTTCTAGGAAAGTCACATAGGGTTAGCTTTAGGATAGGTAAACACAACATTAACATACCATTAGACTACATTCGTATAGATTTGTAGGGTCCTAAAAAAATCTCACACATGGAGAAAATAGATTTTTCTTGTCCATTATTGATGAGCACTTGATGAAAGTTTGGGTATATCTTCTTAAATCCAAATTTGAAACTTTTAGTAAGTTTAAGTCTTGTATTGCTTTAGTTGAAAATAAAATGGGAAAGGGTGTGAAAACTTTTAAGACGGACAATGGTTTAGAGTTTTGCAACTTTGAATTTGATAGTTTCTGCAAGGGAAATGATATAATAAGGTACTAACTGTGAGATATACCTCCAAAAAAGGGGTGGTGGAGAGGATGTAGCGGACTTTAATGGATAAAACCAGATGAATGATGATAAGTTCAGGTTGTCTAAAGGTTTTTGGAATGAAGCCATATGTAATGCTGCCTATTTGATAAATAGGTTATCTTCTAGTTTTGTTAACTTTAAGGCTCCTCAAGAGTTGTGGTTTGGAAAAACTCCAGGTTTGTTGTTAGAGTGTTTGGTTGTGCGGCTTATGCACATCAGTTTGAGGAGTGTTTCATGTTGGGTTATCCAGAAGGAGTGAAATGATATATGGGCTTTAAGTGTGAAGGATATTAAGACTATTAGTAGTAGAGATATGAAGTACAATGATCTTCATATGCCTTAACTTAAAATCATAGTCAGTCAAAAGAAAAAGATCGAGGAAGGAGAATCTTCTAAAGAAAAGAAGATGGAGTTTGAAGTGAAGAGATTAGACGATAATCCAAACGATAGTGAAATCCAATCTCAAGAAGAATCTGATCAAGAAGTGGTGATAGAACAGCCCAAACTTGAAATTCCTGAAAATGTTAATCTTAATAAAAAATATCTGTAGGTACTAATTTGGAAGATTACCAATTAGTGAGGGATAGGAAGAGAAGACACGTGAAGCCCAATTTGAAATATATCTCTTCAAATTTGATGGAATTTGTCCTAGTTTTAGGTGAAGCCTTGGAGTTAGTTGAACCGACTTCATTTGGGGAAGCGATTAATTGTAAAAATTCTGAAAATTGGAAAAAGGCTATGAGAGAGGAGATCTAGCCTCTAAACAAAAATGAGAAATTGAAGTTGGTTGAAAAACCAAAGAATCAAAAGGTAGTCATAGTAGGATCTAAAGACCCTTTAATGTATAAAGTTACGTTGGTTAAGAAGGGATTTGCTCCGAGAGAGGGGATAGACTATATTGAGGTGTTTTCACCCGTCATTAAGTATAAAACTATCAGATTAATCTTAGCCTTAGTTGTCCAGTATGATTGGGAGTTGGAGACTGGATCTTAAGATGGCTTTTCTTCATAGGGAGTTGGATGAATTGATTTATATTCTTAACCTCAAGGATTTGAGGTGAGGGGGAATATAAACTTGTATGTTTTCTTAGAAAGTTCTTTTATGGTCTTAAGTAGAGTCCTAGAAAATTGTATAAAAGATTTGATGCTTATGTGCTTAAAATTGGTTTTAAGAGGAGTGAATTTGATGCATATTTGTATTTTAATAACTCTAAAGTAGGCTGTGAAGTTTATTTATTGTTACATGTTGATGACATATTGCTTGCTAGTTCTAATAAAGTTGAATCATAAAGATGAAAAACCTTTAAAAATCGGAATTTGACATGAAAGACTTAGGAAAGGCAAGAAAAATTATTGGCATGATTATTAAAAGGAATATGGGGCTGATAATATGATGACTATTAATCAAAAGTCGTATTTGGATAAAGCGATAACCAAATTTGGTATGAAATTTGCTAAATCTATCAATATACCATTACTGCACACATGAATTTAACATCTACACAATGCCCTAAAACTAAAGAAGAAATGTATGAAATGAGTAATGTTCCCTATGCTAATGCCATTGGGATGTATTCTATGATTACCACGAGATCAGACCTTGCATATTCAGTTAATTTCTTGAGTATGTTTTATGTACTAGGTAAACCTCATTGGATTGAACTTAAATGGTTGTTAAGATACCTAGCTAGAATTTTAAAAAGATAGTGTTCAAAAAGGAAAATGAAAAGTTAGAGCTTAAATGATATGTAGATTCCAACTTTTCAGGGACAAAGATCAAAGGAAATCTATCGTTTCTTACTTCTTCACTTCAGGTGATACACTTGGAAATCATAGTTGTAATCTATAGTTACACTCTGCAGCACTGAAGTATAATAATTTGCATTAACTGAAGCTGTAAAGGAATGAATGTGCCTGAAAGGCCTTCTATGTGAATTAAATTTCTCGAATGATAATGTTATGAATTTTACTGATAGTCAAAATTCATTATGTTGTGAAAAAATTCTATTTATCATGAACATTCTAAGCATATTGAGTTGAAATATCACTTCATCAAGGAGACATTAGCTTCTAGTGATTTTATTTTGCTTAAAATTGCAGCTAATGATGATCCTGTACATGCTGGAACAAAAGTATTTGCATGGTAAGTTCAACAAATGTTTATCAATATTGAGTATTGATAATAGTTAATTGTTGTGAGGTACTGAGTTGGAGGGAACAATGATGATGAAATAAGACCACACTAATGTATATCACTTGTAACTAGGGAATTTGGCGATGGAATATATTGTGATCCAAGGTGAAGATTTGTGAGGTAGATCACTTAAATCCACTTGGGACATGATTATTGGCCTTGTGTGTTTAGCAAAGATTGTGCTAGTTTTATATAATTGTGGACTATAGATTAAATCCAACCATTGTATTTAATCTTGTTGTCACTTTCTATCTCTAGTCATGTCTCTTACCATTGGTGTTGAATTTTGAATTCAAACTGGTTTTTGGCTCTATAATTATATGTGCATTCACAATGTTAATGCAGCAAATAATGAAGTTCTTGGACTATTTTCATGGCTCCATTCTTTCAATTCAACACCTTCTACGTTCTCAAATTGGAACCCACAAGACTCAAATCCATGTAAATTTTCCTTCATTAACATTCAGTCCATTCAGTTTGCTGTTCCTGTTCCTTCTAATTTTTTTATCTCTTCCTTATCTTGAAAAAAATTGTCATTTCTGGTGCAAATCTCGCTGGAACAATCTGTTGGAACTAGTGGTTTAATATATAAGATTAAAAGTGTGAATTGGAAAAGTCTCCAATGGGTGTGATTATTAAACATGACTTTTCAATTGCAAATGATGCATATCAAAGAGTCATGTTGTTTCAAAATGGGTGTGACATTTTGATAGCTAGCCATCTCCACCATTGAAAATGAAATGGTGCGATCTAATTGTTTAAATTAAGTTGTGCCAAAAGATACGACCATTCGAGGAGACACGTGAAATTTTTTAAATAGGACTCTCTTAATTCTACTTTATTTATTTTCCAATTTATGTCAAAAATAAATTTTAAATTATTTTTGAGTGTTGTGTTTGATATCAGTATTCGATATCTTTCATTATAGAAGAGTACAGTCTAGCGTTGGTTCGTTTAACAAAATTAATATTATGCTATATTAATTTTGAAGAAGTGTTGAATCTTGGGAGATGGATGTCCATTTGATCCTATTAGCACCAATGTAGGGGGTGAAATCCATTTTAAGGAAATTTTCATTCGTATACCCTGCTTCATTTAATCTCTTTCTAATTTCTATTGTTTATTAAGTCACAATTTGTGCCTATATTCATACATGAATTTTGATTTTCTTCATACTTTTTATATTCCATTTGGATTGCATCAATCATTAATAAAATCCCGTTTAGAACTTTGAATGATTTACTGAACATAGAATTATGCATGTATTCCTAATTTGACATGCATTGCTTCTATGTTGCATCTGTTTACAAATTAAACTTTTCTCGCAATTAATTTCGGTTCAATAATAGAATTGGCAGAATGTGAAGCATATTATGTTATGCACAATCAGTTTGTATCTATGAATAATGAATTCATTTTGCATATCTATTTTGACTACAATCAAATTGAAAAAAAATGCATTTATTACATAAAATTCGGAAATAGAAATATGCACATTGTAAAATGCATGTATTTCCATTCTAAGGAAAAAATTACATTTCAAAGTAGAACCTCTTGCAATTAACAATTCCAAATAATGGAAATATCATATACACAGCTAATCATGGCGCTATGCATATAATCTCATTCGGATTCAGTAATTTTCTTTCACATCGCAAGTGTACTGTGTTTAAACAATGTGAATACATTTTTAAATATTCAATACAATTGGTTTGCATATTAGGATTAATATATTGAATAAAGCCATAAGTACACGAAAAATTAACAGAACTTGTACCAACACTAATATGGCAGACGATTTTTCAATTTAGCCGCCCAAGAGAAAAATGTTGCAAGCCATACATTTCAAACCACAGGTTTTACTCCTCTCAGCTCAACTCCGCCTCTCCATTCTCTATGCCTCAATCTCACACTGTTATTTCTCGCTGACTTCCGCCACCATTGACCAGACTCAGTACGTAGGAGAAACCAACCAGAGAACATCTTGAGGAGGTCAGTAGGAATGAATTTCAGAGTTTGGGTGATAGATTTATCACCATATTGTTTAATGTTGCAGGTGGAGAAATTGCAGCATGAATTAAATGGGGAGTTGCAACTGAACTAAATTTCGATTTGTGCATAGGTATGTGTCAATTCACTCCTGTGCGTGTATTTCCTTATTGTTCCCACAAAAGGTAACCATGCTACTTGTTTAATTCCTTAACAAGTGTTATATGTTTTCCTTGAAAATCGTTGCTTATATGTTTGAAAGAGTACAGTTCCTTCATGTTTTGGCTTATTTCTTGCCTTCTAATAGAGTTAACAATGATAAGAATATTTCATGATCACCATTTTCCTTCTCTCTCTCTCTCTATACACACACACAAAATTTCATTTCCCTTTTTTCTAGATTTTAGTCCATTTTAGTTACATATTTTTAAAATTGTAACCATTGATCCTGTTATATTGAAAGAATTAAGCATAACATAGTAATGTGATACGTGATGCAAGTCAACGAGGTCAGATACTATCTTTGAAACTCAAAAATTGGCATTGTTACTGATGATTTTACTTAGAAGTTTTAAGCTTTAGCACATTTTAATGCCAAAGGTTCAAAATGAACTCAGTTATGAGGGTTCTAGCCATTTAGCTGGTTGGCAGTCTATTAAAATAGAGTGGCATTAACAAATAATAATAATTTCAATGTACTCAAAAGATAGAGATTACAAGAATTATATGAAACTTTTTTCCTATAATACCAAGACTTAAGAGGATGTTTGGAATATATAAGATGTCAACACAACTTATATGACACTCAAGTAATAAAAGTTCAGATGGTAAGATTAGGCATCCGATTGATTCATTGAGTTGGAAAATGATTAACAAAAGGTGGCCACATTTTGCATCCGATCCTCGAAATATTAGATTATGTCTTGCTACTGATGGATTTAATCCTTTCAGAGATTGTAGCTCTAAATATAGATGTTGGCCAATAATCTTAACTATATATAAGCTGCCTCTCTCAATTTGCATGTCAAAAGAATGTTTGATGTTGAGTTTATTGATCCCGGGACCGAAACAACCAGGTAATGACACAGATGTTTATTTAGCACCACTTATAGATGACTTAATGTTGTTATGGAGTGATGGGGTTGATATGTATGATGCAGTTACAAAGTCTACATTCAACTTAAAAGCTATTTTGATACGGATAATACATGACTTTTCTGCATATGAAAATATATTTGGGTGGCCCATCAAATGAAAAATTACATGCCCTAGTAGTTGTGAAAATACATGTTCAGTATGGTTGAAGCATGGTAGAAAGTTTGTTTACATGGGACATAGAAGATTTCTCGCTTTTAATCATCCATTTCGCATGAAAAGGAGCTGGTTTAATGGACATGTTGAACATGGTATTAGGCTGAAGATTAAAAATGGTGAAGAGGATTCTATTGAAGTTGATAAAATTACAAATGATTGGGAAAATAGTGATAAATGAAAGAGGAAGAGGAATACAACTCAATCTAATGTCACGTGGAAGAAAAAGTCAATATTTTTTTATCTACCATATTGGAAGGTAATTGTTGTAATATTTCCTTCATTTTTATTTAATATTTCTAATTGCGTGCAATTTTTCATGAGTCCATTAATGTTTGATTTGAAGACTTTACTTGTACATCATAATTTGGATGTGATGCATGTGGAAAAGAATATTTGTGATAGCATCATCAGTACACTTTTGGATGTCAAGGAAAATCTAAATATGGCATTAACTCTCATAAGGACAGGGAAGAAATGAACATTAGGTATGATTTACATCTTTAGAGTAGAGGAAATAAATTCTGCCTATCAGTTGCTCCTCATACCTTATTAAAAACAGAGAAACAAATCTTTTGTAGAAAGCTTGATAACTTGAGATTACCCGATGGTTATGGATTTAATATTGGAAATTGCACATCAGTGGAAGAATATAAGATAGTTGGGCTGAAGTCACATGATTGTCACATGTTAGCGCAACAATTATTATCAGTTGCATTGAGAGGACTTCTACCTAAAGGACCAAGGAAATCTATTTTTAAGTTGAGTTCATTTTTCAAGGAAATATGTCAAAGAATTGTAGATAGAAATAATGTTGAACAATTAGAGGAGGACATTTTTGAAACTTTATGCATGTTGGAAAGGTATTTCCTGCCTTCATTTATTGATATAATGGTTCATTTGACAATCTATATTGGGAGAGAAGTTCGTCTATGTGGACCAGTACAATATCTTTGGATGTATCCATTTGAGAGATATATGAAAATGTTGAAAAGGTACGTTATGAATCGTACACGGCTTGAAGGGTATGTAGCTGAATGATATATTGTTGAAGAAAATGTGAAATTTTGTAGCAAATACGTAACACAAGCATCCAAAATAGGCTCTAAGCATGTACGTAATGAAGAATATGAGACTAATTTCCTAGTTGTAGGGCTTACAATTTCTAAATGGAAGGCAATTGCACTATCTAATGAGATGTTGAAAGTTGCTCATCGCTACTGTTACTGAATGGTACAGAAGTTCAACCGTACATAGAGTACATTTATTAAATATCGAGTTTGATAAATTTTAAGTAGTTCAACCATATTACTTTTTGATATATTGTATTTACCTTAGGATGCGTATGGATGAACTCAAGAGTGTTGACAGAAGACTAGAAGAAATGATATTTTATTGCCCAAGAAACACATTGAAGTTTTTGCAGCCTGGTTGGATGATAAGGTTGGAATACACATCAAACAATAAATGTCTAGTTGTGCTATTTATTCTTTTATTTCCAACATTTTAAAAATAATAACAGATAAAAGTTTAGCTATTGATAGACAAAGTATTGAACAATTTGAAGTGGCTCACACGTGGTCCTAGATGTCAATCCATGTCATATTTTAGTTTTTTCATAAATGGTCTTCAATTTCACATTAAAGATACAAAAAATCTAGCCAAAACAGTGGCGTTTTAGTTGAAGCAACGACCATATATAGATCTAGTGCAAAAGATAATGCACAAATAGTTGGGCAAGTTCTTTATTATGGAGTTTTGCATGATGTTATAGTGCTTGATTATAATATGTTTCATGTTCCAATATTTAAGTGTGATTGGGTAAATATCATGAACAGAATAAAAAAGGAAGACATATTCACTTTCGTTAACCTTAATGAAGGACACAAACAATTTGAAAATGTTCCTTTCATCTTAGCAACACAGGTGAAACAAGTTTTTTATTCTAGGAAAAATGAAACATCTAGTGGGTATGTTGCTTTGCAAGCGCTACAAAGAGACTTTGAAGCATCACACATGGAAGAAGATATTAATTACGAGGCAACTATTCCACTAGATATATCACAGCCAATTATAGACAACTATGATGATGATGAGAATTATGCATGAATAGATGTTGAAGGCGCATTTTGTGACATGTAAAGTAGTTTGGTAACTTCCACATACTTTGTAGATAATGTACTTTTTGCATAATGATCAATTTTGTTCTACTATAGATTTTTTTTTTGTTTCCAAAAGACTATTGTTTTCTTATAATACATGGGATATACGCTAAGTTTTGAAAATAATTGCTTTTATGCCTTGTTTTCATGTCGTATTCTCAAAATCAAGTAAATAAATTTCTAAGAGTTCTAAAAGAAGAAGAGCTACAATTGCTAATGCAATTTGAGAGACCAGTAAGAGACTGAGAGATTCTAGTAAACAAGAAAATACTATAACTAGTCCAACTAATAATGAGCAAACCACGTTGCCAACAACTGCAAACGCGCCGAAGAAGAAAAGAGGTCCAACATAAGTGAAGATGATTCCCGAACATAATTATCGGAAGATGGATCTGGAATACAATGAATATGGCCAAATTGTTGGTAAGAACTAAGATAAATTTGCTAGCATAGTTGGTGCCATCGCACGGGAATATGTGTCTATTGTAATTAAAGATGGACATTCAGCGGATGGAAAGAAAAAAATGGAGCTTTGGACTTTCATACAAATAACATTTCTTAACTACCTTTTAAAATTATTACGTTGTATAGTTTTCCTTCTTAATGACACTATTCTCTTAAGTCTTAAATTTATGTTTGTACACAAATACAGCAAATGTTTAATGTTAGTGATTGTCATCAAAGAATGACATTTCAATGTATGAAAAAGTATTGGAGGACATTCAAATCAAGATTGAGAAAAGAAATTAGAACTCAAGTTGAATCATCTGTGAATAGAGCACGCACTATTACCCTTCTTGGACCAAATAATGTCAACTCAAAAGAAATTTGGGTAAAATTTGTCGAGGATACTTTTCCTGTTAATTTTCATGTAAGTATATTTGCATGAAGCTTAAATTTTTATAATTATTGTTGTTTAATATTTTTTTTAATAGGAAAAAAGTTCCAAGTTCAGCAACACTAATCAAAAGCTACTCCATACTATAGGTCGAAAGGTTTATCTACGTGTAGCTTATGAAAATGGTACATCTTAGGAACATATCTTCTCTTTCATGAATTGTCCAATTCCAATTTATATAATTACTAAATTTGTACTGCAGAGAAAAAAGAATCCAAATTAAAAAGGGCTAACAACAAGAGTATGGACTCATGGACATCTTAGGAAAGATGGAAAACCAATAAATGAAACAGTTGTCATTACTATGGTATGTGTATTATGTCAACGTTCAATGAAGCATAGTTTGATACATTAGTTGTATCACTTGTTAGCATGAAATTTGAGTTCCATAAGTGCAGAGAAGGATTGAAGATTGTACCATATCAATTTCTGATACACTCGCCGAAGATTCCATCCGCGATGATGCTGTCGCTTGAGTTTTAGGTCCTGAACGTCATGGGAGAGTTAGGGGACTAGGATTTGGATTTGCACCATCAAAGGTGGATGGACAAATACAAAGTAGTGGGAGAGTTAGAGAATGTGAAAGCCAATTATAAGAGTGGGGCACTAGAAGAAAAAGTGGAAACACTTCTCAGGTAATCTCAACAGGTTATAAGCAGTTACCTTTTATACATACTATAATTATATAGCCAATTACATGTAGAATAAATTTTGTAATTTCTGTGTCATTTTACCGAGTGTAGATGACAGAAATTCAAACGCTTTTATTCCTTAGGTTTTTGTATCCTACGTTGTTAAATGTTTATTCAATATATATTCAATTTGTAGCATTATAATTTTAAAAAGAATATTTTCTATTTTAAAAAGAATATATATTCACACCAAGGAAGTACTGCACCTATGACAAATGCAAGATGTGTTGCATTGTTATATGTTTGAAGAGGAAGAAGTTGTAACAGAAGGGAAGATTTCTACGATAGACCCAAGTGCAAAGGTACATCATCTGCCACATTGTCGAAACTGCTGGAAGGTTTGGGTTGAGGAAGTGTATATAGGTAATTTGATCTTATAGAGACCTGCAAATGAATTCCAAACCCTTGGTGAAGCCATGGGAAGTACTGTTGCTTGGCCAAAGAGCAGTATTAGACTTATTTGATTAATGTATATTTTTTGGATTTATTATAAATACGCGTGAATATATTTCCATTTTCAAGTCGTTTGACAGATGTATTAGACTACCTTTGTGCGTAGCTTTCAGCTTGATTTTGGGAACTCCTTTGTGGTCCATTTAAGTGGATAATTTTTTTCAAATTTGTGTGGGGTTGCTGTGTGATTTTCAGCTTTTAATCTGAGCCTCGATTAACTTTGGGTGCCAATTGTTTGGAGCTTTTGATAGGAAAGTTGATTTCCATTTTATTGTGATTATTTCTGTTATACATTGCATAGTTAACTTAGTTTGTGTTTATTAATTGGTTGATAGGCATATTTATCACTAGAATTGGTATCAAAGCCCAGTTTTAGGCTACGGTATTGGCTGATTTTTTCGATCTCTATGCTGGAATTCATATTTAGTAAATTGAATGTATGTTCATGGAGCAATTGATGATTGCTTAATTTTGTGTCCGCTAATTTTGCAATAAGGACTTGTGAGTACGTCATAATTTCGTGGGTTTATTGATGGTTGCGTAATTTTGTATTGCTGCTGAACGACTAAAAATCTATGTGCTTTGCCTCTTTCTGATTTTACTTTGTTTATTATTGCTAGGAAACTGAATAGATAGGCTGCGGAGGCGCCAAGCTAGGAAGATCAATGGAGTGAAGGACGAATTGATGCAATGGAAGATGAGAATACTAAAAAAAATAGAGAAGTGGGCACATAAGCCATTTTAATGTATTGTTTGATATTGAATATACAATGCTCATTTCCTTTTACAAATCTCTTTGGTGGTACATGTTTTGTGGTCTCATAATTATTTTTGTTGTACATGTTTGTGGTCTACGAATTTTGGTGGTACATGTATTAATTTTATTTTGAAAAATAGAATATGTTGAATAGTTTACAAGTTTATTATGTGAATTGTTAGTTTATTATTCGAATTGTTGGTTCAAAGAACATGATTTTCAGTAGTATGGTAAGCATATATAAAAATGCAAATTAATTTTAAAAAATATAAAAACAACCAATGACAATGTTTGCAAAATGTTGCAAAAACCTAAGGATAAGAGAAGACAACGTTGAAAAAGCATTGCAAAAGAGTTAACGAAAATGCCTAAAAAACGGTTACAAAAAACATAACGGCAACATCTAAAAAACGTTGCAAAAAAATTAATGACAACGCTAAGAAACGTTGCAAAAGAGTTAATTGCAACGTCTAGAAAACGTTGTAAAAAACGTCTTTTGCAACAGTTTCTGAACATTGCAAAAGATGGTCTTTCGCAACGGTGAATAAACGTTGCTATATCTCTTGCCTCAACGGCAACATCGATCCTCGTAACGTATACTGAAACGCTGCAAATGACCTTTTGCGGTATTTTCTTACTGTTGCAAAAGTCCTTTTTGGTGAAAGGCCTCTTAGACCCCTCTGGAATCCATTTATACGTTGTCATCAATTTATCACCTTCGTTCTTGATTTCACTGTATTTTCTTTTATGAAAGACTTTTAGGCCTTATACTATTACCTTATGCAATTGGACAAGGTTTTAGAATTGTCCTATTATTTCATCTACAATTTTTCAAATCGTGCATAGACAATTCCGATAGCATCACATATGATTCAGAAGCTGGCAAGTCTACGATGCTCTTGCATCTCCTTATATATGCATTTGTAAAGGATTACCATGTTAGGCATAGTTCTAGAGATTATGATAAGCCCTCATGCATTTCCTTCTCGGCAAATGCGTGGTCAACTTCTAAAGGTTACTTTAGGCAAAGAGATTAAATTTATTCTCAATCTTTCTTTTTTCCTTTGATTCAAGAAGCCTTTGCGGGGTAATTAGATGGACAAGGTGGTTTAATTAGTAGAATATACGACTGTGTAATAATTTTATTTTGTATAATGTGCCTTTTGTCTATGTAATGGATATAGATTGTATAACATGCCTTTTGAATATGTAATAGATATAGCTCGTAAGTGTCATTTACCATGTAGCATACTTTTTATCAATGAGAATTTTCACTTTATCATAGTTTTTGGTTTGCAAACATAGTCTTGATTGGTTTTTAGATTGATACGGTAAATAATTAACCAACTTGGTTGGCTTCGGGCAACAGGAATTCAAAAGTGAACTTTCGTGAATAATAGGAATACTAACATTATTGATTTCACCCAACAAGAATTTGTCCCCATTTCATTGATAATACTTTATCAAGTACATGTCATTCCAATGATGTTCAAGGGATTCGCCATCTTTCTTTGTGAACTTTTATGTTCTTGTTTCTACAAATTCGAATATAGTATATGGTCCTTCTCATTTCTAACCAAGTGAGCTGTAATTCATTTCTTCGTTTGTGATAAATACTTCCCTTAGGACTAATTCCCTCACTTTGAAGTTTTTTCTTGTAAACATTTGAGTTGAAATATCTTTCTATTCTTTTCTAGTATGCCGTGAGCTTAACTTGAGAATCATCTCCCTTATCCTATAAGAGGTCTAGGCTTGTGTTTATATATTCCTCATTTTTCTTTTTGTCATATGCTATTATTCTTGCTAAACTAACACCAATTTCCATTAGTACCATGGCCTCCATTTGCTAGTCCAGGGAAAATAAGGTTTCTCTAGTGGGGATTTTCATGGTGCTTCGATATGCCCATAGGTTTATTGACCTATAGCCACTACTGGTTATCAGCTCTTGTACAAGCTTTCATGGAATATGTGCAAAAGTTTGATATTTTTCACATTTGTTGGCAAAATTCATTGCATCCTTTCTCATATTAGGTCATAAATATCATTATTTCAAGGCCTTTTGCACTATGAAGTGTCTACTAGCGTGCTTAACACATACGCATTCATAGATCTTCGTTATTACGTATAAAGCCTCATCTTCACTTATGCATCTAAGTAGAGGGTATGTGTACTCTTGTTTGTATAAGATATCACCTTTAGTGTGTATCTAGTACCTTTTATTTGCAGTTTTTGTGCTGTCTTTTTTATCTTTAGGGAGACTCTATCTTTCAAATAAGAAATAATGTCTTGCATACAAGAATTTTTATGTTGTATCCATAAGATTTCCTCCATTTTTTGGCCAACTAGTGGTTTTGACTTTAGTTCCTACTGGGATTGTTAAATAGATCTACATCTTTTGAGCTTGCCACTTTTGACGCGGCATCTACATGTTCATTTTTCACTCTTGAAATTTGGGTGAGTTCAAACTTGTTGAAAGTAATCTTATGGTTTTTGTGAGATATATAGCCAATGTTTTGTCCTTGGCCGTGATGTCCCGTTTATTCGGTTTACCAACAATTACGAGTCATTTTTTATTTCAATATTTCGAGTTTGCATTTCTTTTACAAGCCCTAGGCCCGCCAATAGTGCTTTGTACTCAACCATATTATTGATTGCTTTGAATGCACAATTCAATTTGTGCCCTTCCGAGTAAGCAAGATTATGCTTGCTTCAGAGCCAATATCTCCAAATAATCCATCTATCGATAATTTTCAAGTTTCTTGTTCAGGCTCTTCCCCAAGGGTAGGACCTTCTCACAATTTTGCAGTGAAGTCAGCTAATGCCTGTGCTTTGATTGTAGATCGTCCTTTATAGTTTATCTCAAATTGTTCTAGCTCTATTATCCATTTCGTTAATCTCCTTAATGTATTAGACTCTTTTAGTACTTGTTTGAGAGGGAAATTTGTTAATACTTCAATGCTAAGAATCTAGAAATATGGTCGTAGCTATCACAAGACCATTACTAAAGCAAGTGCCAGCTTTCTATATCCTAATATCTTATCTCTACTATTTGTAGGGCTTTACTTATATAGTAGACTAGTAATTGTTGTTTCCCTTCCTTTTTTACTAGCATTGAGCTGATCGCCACCTTGGATACCGCCAGATATAGTAGTAACTTTTTCATGTTTTTGGGTTTAGCTAATAGAAGTACTTTCTCATGTGATCTTTTAAGGCTTGGAATTCTTGTTTGCATTCGCTGTTTCATTCAATTTTTTCCCCCCTTTTATAACTTTGAAAAAATTAAAACATATGTCCGTTGCTCAAGATATAAACCTACTTAAAGAGATGACTTTTTCTATTAGGTTAACCACTATTTTGATTTAGATGGGATCACATTTTTACGAGACCCCTTTATCCCCGGTCCAAGGCCCCTCAGTGTAGTATAGAACACGGCCAAGGCTCCTCAGTGAACTAGAAGAAATATATAATCATGGGTACTTTTCTGGTCAATCTCAAAATCACATCTCATATTCCAATTCACAATGTACCGTATACAATCTTTGAAATCCCACATGTATCATAATAAAAAATATTTCCATAATAACCATGTCATTCGAACACATAATTGCATATATTGCACATACTTTAACAATATACTTAATTTATAAATATTTTAAAAATATTTATATTATTCCACTCACAGTAGTACTATGTTCGCAAAATCAACCCGGTTGGTAAGTTGTCCTGATATTCGTATCGCCGCTTGGAATATGATATAGTTTTTAAATCAACAATTAATTATTTTAAGTAATTTCAATAATTAAATAGGCGATATCCAAACTTAATCATTTTATATTTAAGCAATTTCTAAAGTCTCTTTAATCGCTAAAACTAGTTTTTCTT